CGGTTGCGAAGCGGCGCGGGTTCGGAGTGAGGGAAGGGGCGCAGCTGCCGAGGGGACCGAGGGTGTGCCCGTTCTGCGCTGCTCGCCTCGGAAACCGCCTTCAGTTTCTCATGAGGCTGATGCTGTAGTGCAAGGAGAAGCCTGAAGCCATCCATCCAAAGCTTTCAGGGTGTCGGCATCACCCTTCAGCGGGTAGGTAGGCCGCAAGAAACAAATTGTCTCCTCTTAATAACCCAGAGCACTTTTTCATATTTTTCTAAATTAATTCCTGCACGTATGCTTGCTGCATACCTGAGGAAAAATAGTTTTCTAGGTTTCTGCCTGTGTTCCGGGAGCCTGGGTGCTCTGGGTGCTCTTGTAGCTTGTCCTCGCATCGTCCTCTGTAGATGCTATGCTTATGTTGCACAGCTACATACACTTTATCAAAGGCATCTTCCCTGGAGGTGTCTAAGCGTGCATGCTGTAATGTTTTACAGTCCTTGTTTATCTGCTTGCCGTGCTCCATATGTTTTGTATGACCACATCAACTAGAGCACCCCACGGCTGTGGAGACTTTCTTACTTGGTATTCTTCAGAGTATGAGAAGCAGAAAGTCTGAGGCTGTGCAGTCACTTAAGTCAGTACCCTTCCTAAAGGGGAGGGAGGGAGGGAAGGGGGAGCACACCTTCCCTTCAGAAGCATGTGATGGCTTCTGGAGTTATTTCACTTTCAGGGCAGTTCCCTTCACCTGTTTTGCTGTGCAACTTCATGAAAAACTGGCAGGGACTTAAAGCAGGTCTCCTCAAATGTGTTTAGGAAGGCAAGGTGCACATCTTTTTGTCAGCAGTGTGGTTTTCATCTGGGTTAGTATGACCATGTAACACTTCCAGGCTTTCTGGATCTTGCTTTCAGCTTTTGGGCTTCTCACTGTTGGGTTTCAATGGTGACTTTGAGGGGTGGCTAAAAAGCTGTGTCTTCTAGCATACAGGAAACAGTAAAAACTACAGTCAGGTCTCTTGTGTGTGATACTGCACTGTCAGGCCTTACTAACCAGTAAAAATGACTTATCAGAAATACTCACAGTCATCTTCTCAATATTTGAATTTATGCCGGCATGGCTTTCACAGTGAAAGCCCTCTGCTGAAACTTGAAGACTGATCTGTGTTTGGAACCTAATTAAACAGTAGTTGTAGTGCCAGTAAGAGGGGAGGGGAGGTGGGACATAGCTATGGGACTCAGCAGGAGCACGGTGTGAAAGGCCTTTAAAGTTAGTAATGAATTGAAATAGTTGTATCTAAGAATGCATTGTGGTAGCCTTGATGTTCCCCAGTTTTTCTTCAGATGAACTACAGGAATGCTGAGCATAATGCTTCAGAGGTAAAGTGGCGCTGATTTTGCTTTGAGAAGGGAGGGCTGGCTCTTAAATTGCTCTGCAGTTGCAACTCTGCTGATGTGAGTGAGAACTGCACTTCTATACATTTTAAGGCTCTTGCACGTTAAGTGTATTTTACTGATACAGATGACACAGTGCAGATCTGCTGAATTATTGGTACTCCTCTGTTACTGGAGTTTCCCCTCTCATTCTTCCACTTGTCTTACTTTCTTTGTCTTGATCTGTTGAAAATTCTGCACCACCAGCTTGCACAGATGCAATGTTTTACTGCCACCAAAAGGGAGAGATCTCTTCCCCCTATTTTCTTTCTCACTGCTGCTAACTTTTCACTGTCGTCTACTTGACCTTCCTACAGAAAACTTTACAGAAAAATGGATTAAAATTACTTGATGAAGAATACATTGTAAGCTAGAACTGGCACAGAGGTGGGAATGAAGAGCATGAGCTGCTAGGTGGCATAAGGTTATACAAGATGTCTAGAAACAAAATCAAGACAGAGTCTCTAAATACCTCCTAACCATATTCGCCTCAGTTTTCCTCTACCTTCTAGTAGTTTGCTGTTAAGCTTTTTAATTCTGACCCAGTCAAAAGCATATTATCTGGGGAAAAGAGTGTCTTTTAAAAAATATTGACAGGCAGGATAAGAAAATAAAAATATCTGTGAAAGGCTGATGTTTTACTCACTTTTCCCATGCTTGTCTTCTGGCCTTGGAATGGAAGTAAGGGGAGGATAGTTACAATTTTGTTTTACTAAACTAAAATTGGAGATACTCAAAAGTAATGCTGCATCTTCCATAAATGTGTTCATCCACAGTCAGGTAATTCTCCCTTACTGTCCTTTTTTATGTAACTAGAGAACATATTTTAAGACATAGTTTTCCCTGAACCTAGCCAGCCCCTTGGGGCAGTCCCTTTTGACTCCTTGGATGTATCAGTTCAATGTCCTCACCCACTGGTGACTCATTTCCACGGTAATTGTGCTTCTGTGGATGGCCATTCTTGTGGTGTCAGCAGAGCAATGGTACTACATTTGGTCTATTCCAGAGCAGGAAAGTCTGCCAGTCCTCTCTCAGGTTTGTATGATCTTGTGACTGAGGGTAAGGCAGTTCATTCTATCACTACCAATCCACTCCCTAGGGAAGCAATCACAGGTGGTTACACCTGCTGCCTTGGGTGGTGGTAACTAACTTGCTCTCACCTTATAACGCTTTTGGAGAGCATCCTGTGCTGGTCACACTTGTGTACAACAGGGTCAAACCAGGACTTGGGGGCTTTTAAAACTTGTGAAGAAGTTTAAAGATACGGGATGGGGAAGAAAATTTAATTTGGTCGGTAGAAAATAAAATATGCACATGCAGAAAATTTCTGAAGCTCAGTTTTTAAAGAAAGGAATTTAAAAGTGTGCAGGATAACCATATTGAAGCAGTGCTCTCTTCTTAAGTGTTGGAGAGCATTATTTGTTGTACATTAGGAAAATCTGCAGCGTATGTAGTTCATGTGTCCTACCCATACAGAGATCAGTGCAGGATGGGAACAGCACTGGAAAGAAAATGAATTGTAGAGGAAGCACGATAGAGACACTCAGCTGTTGTGTACAGGTTCCACTGCAAGGTCACAGCAGCGTGTCTGCATCACGCTTTGCTGTCCTCTGATTTTGGGGAGGAGTGATTAGCTCTAGCACGGTGGCAGGCCTGATGTGCTTTATCGCTTTGTATTGTACTTGAGCAAATGTGCTCTTGCAGAAAGAGAGTGCAGAACAGACAGGTGCTGCTTTCTCTTTTATGTCCTAGACTTGGTGAGTCTATCAGGACCCAGACCTCGGGCTGGGCTTTGTTTCAGAGCAGCAGGGAGATCCTGCCTTCAGCTAGAGGTGGGAATGGATGGTGTAGGGAGTACCTATGCCTTCTTGTGCTTCAAGCAAAAGCTGGCTAACAGATTTCTTTTGGCCGGCCCTGCCTGATCATTTATAAGGGTTCAGAACAGAAATACATGGGGCCTATGGTGCAAAGAATTCATGTTTATTTCCTTTCAGTTGTGGATTGTTCTCTCTTACAGTCAGTCTACAGTCCAGGATGCTCTTGGACCCTGGGGCCTTGTCCGCATTAGTAAGGAGTGGTAGGAGAAGATCAGTGGATCCGAATGGTTGATGTTGAGTTTCCTCACACCTCCATCACATATAATTCAGAGAGTTTATTTCAGGTTAAACTTAGTCTTGTTTCCCAGGACTGAATGTCTGCAATACATGTAGTTTGAAGTTCTCAAAAAGGTAAAAAAGTGTTAGGTAAATGCTGCAGGTGTGGCCTTCGCATTGCCTTGGCACCTAATATCCTGTTAATTTTTGAAATGTTTTGTAGGTGAGGGTTTCTTCTTTAAAAAAGAAAGTTGTGCACAGAGAAACAACTTTGAGATCCAAATCAGCACGTGACAAATCGAGGCAGCACAGGACTCACTATAAATTCACACCTGCTTTGAATCACATCACTGCTGTAGGCACAGTCTCACAAATATCCTAAAATCTGTGAAATCCAGGTCAAACTCACCATGTAGCAGCTGACCACCATTATCTGTTTGTAGACACAGGAAAGTTGTCTTGCATTCCTGATTTTGACTGTTTCTGAGTAATTAGTTACTAGAATGAGAGCTAGCAAGTTGAATGTATTTCATTGTGGTGAAGGGAATCATTGCAGAGATTTAAACAGTGGTCTGTCAGTGACATGCCAAGGTGCTGATTTTAGTAGGTGTTTTGCATAGAAAGGTCTAATGAGTAATGGCAAAAAGATAGGAGCTTGCAAGGGAGTCGTAGTCCTGCTGGCTGAATATAGAAAAGGTTGGCCATTCGGAGAGGAAAATGTAAAACTGAGCTGTTTGAGTCTGGTTGTGTTCATTCTCTTGAAAGAGAGAAAGTGAAATTTGAAGTCTCTAGACTGTAAGAAAAAGAAATTAGTAGGTTCAGTAAAGAAAGTAATCGCTAGAAATGGGAAAAGAGTTAAGAAGAATTAAAGTGTCAAGACAGAGGGGAAAGACCCTGAAAAAGGAACCATTCTGCCCACAGGAATATGGAAGAATTCAGAATTAGTTACTTTTCTGAAAACGCGAGCCTTCAGATATGGTGGAACTGAAGGTACATTGTGTAATGTTTGTCCAGGACTTTTATTTTTACGTGGGGAGAAACATATCTTCTCCACAGTAAAGTCAAACCTTCAGCACTGTGGTGAGGTAGACTCATTTGGAAGAAAAGATGACTCTGTATTTAATGACATTCTGCAAGTGGTGTTTTTTACAAGATTACCTTAAAGTGATGACAGTGATTAAAAAGTACAACTGCACCCTGCTTGTCATGAGAGGCCCCACATAACTCACTAACTCTGAGATGACTCTTCAGTTGGCAGTCCTGAAACTGGATGTGATAGAAGATGGGAATAGACAGTTGGGAAGTGATGATTGATGACTCATTTCAGTATCTCAGACAAGTATTTCACTAAACAGACTAAATTTATCAATGTAACGCATTTATTTTTCTTACTGTATAACATGCTGTCAGGGCATCGCCATAGCTTTGCTACATGATTTATTCTTGCTGCAGAACATGCAATGATACTTAAAATGTTAATTTTTTTTTTTTAATTACAAAACAAATTCCTCATACAGTTTATGCATTTATTACAACACAATATATCTTACAGGAAATGGGTGATTCCATTTTCCATTGAAAATAATTTAGAAATACTCTTAATAACTCTTAATAAATAATAAATTTATTAAAAAATGCAGGAAGATAAGAGGCACTAAATATTTAAGATCTGGTATATATTTTTCATCT